TATGACTAATGCTCTGGTGTGGCCTCCCTCCTTTTCCGAACTTAACAACATACACTTTGTCAGTTGGTTACAATCTTTTGTGCTATCCTTTTTTTTTTTTTTACCAATACTCACAAGTTATATAAATTCTCACCTTATAAATCTAGCTTGTGCTTATGTAATATCAATTATTAAACATTCATTTGACTGAACTATTTTTGGTCATCTAGCTTTCTTATTGTCTTAGGATATTTCAGATATTGGGTCAAGTGTAGTCTAATGTTTGCAGAGACATTTCATGGTTTTTATAGTTTGAATTCCTAAAGCATTACATAAATGTAATAAAAAGCTGGTCTGCATTTAAAAAATTTTTTTAACACAGAATGATAGTATATGAACTTTGGATTTGTTAATTCTTTTTCAAATGTAAAATTTATTGAGTTTGTGATTCTTGTAAGTTTAACAGCAATTTAGCAAAGGATGACCATTATTTGAGTATATTCCTTTTCATGGACTTTAAGCAATAAATTAGATTATTTGAACCTTTGATGTGTGTGCCTGCTTTTTTCTGTCTGACATTAATCTCCACTCCTACAATTCTTTATTGGGGAAGCAATGGAAAACACCAGAATGACATCTGATCAAAAAAGCAGAAGCAGCAGCTGGCCATGTCACAGTCGATGCTGCACTACACAATTTATGCAATCTGTTCCCTTCCACAACCTTCCAAATAACATTAAAGATGCAGAATTTGATGCAACCAATATCTGTCAACTTCAAACTGAACCTGGCAGGAACCATTTCTCATTTCTCAGTTACCACACACTATTCAGGTGTGTTTGGGAGGGGGAGAGGTTGGAATGCATTGCCAGACAAAACACTGATCCTTCTCTTGGGAACCCAGGTCATCTTCACAAATGTCAGATGAAAAAGGATGGTAGTGCCTAAAGAGCCCACCAATTCATTTAATTGGATAATGTGACCAGTAACACTTGAGGAGGGAATCATTTGCTGTTTTGATTATACTGAAATCCTTGGAAATATTTAGAGTTGGTCTTCCATTTAACTGTGCTGATATGATGTATCCAATAAAGAAGCTGTTTGAGGAAGATTCCAGCCTTGGATATTTGATGTGCTTGAGTTCATTAGTTGGAATCTTGACCATATCCCTGGCACAGCTGGAAACTCCGGTGCTACAGTTTCTGTGGCAAAGGATTCATGGTAGTCTCAAAGATTATTTTTTAAAAGGCAACTGTTTCTCCTTATTTCCAGATTAAATCTCTCCTTGTTCAGTTTCCATCCATGATTCCTTGTCTGGCCTACAGGTGCTTTAGAAAATAGATTGACCCCTTCCTCTCTGTGGCAGACCCCAAAATATTGGAAGACCTTTATCATGTCTCCTCTGGTCCTTCTCTTTACTAGACTAGCCAACCCCATTTTCTGCAACTGTTCATTGTATGTTTTAGCCTCCAGTCCCCTAATCATCCTGGTTGATCTTCTCTGTACTTTTTCTAGAGTCTCAACACCTTTTCTATAATGTAGTGAACAAAACTGGATGTAATACTCTACATGTGGTCTTACTAAGGCTTTATAGAGTGGTATTAGTACCTCACTTGATCTCGATTGTATCCCTCTGTTAATACAACTTAGGATTGCATTAGCTTTTTTGGCCGCTGCTGGCTCATATTTAGCTGATTGCCCACTAGCATTCCAAGATTCTTCTCACAGTTACTGCTATTGAACCTGGTTTCACCCAGTCTATATGTGTATTTTTTGTTTTTCTTGCCTAAATGTAGGACTTTACTTTTCTCTACATTGAATTTCATTTTGTTAGATACAGCTCAGTGTTCTAGTCTGTCAAGATCCATCTGGATCTTGAGCCTAACTTCGTGGGGGTTACCTATTCCTGCCAGCTTAGTATCATCTGCAAATTGGGTAAGTTCCCCTTCTATTCCCTCATCTAAGTCATTCATGAAGATATTAAAGAGTACTGGGCCTAAGATGGAATCTTGTGGCACCCCACTGCTTACTTCCTAGCATGTAGACTTAGACCCATTAAGGACTACTCACTGAGTGCAGTTTGCCAGCCAGTTACCAGTCCATCTAGTGGTGGTGCTATCTATTCTACTTTTTTTGAGCTTACTAAGAAGTAGGTTGCGGTCTATTTTGTCAAAGCTTTGCTGAGTTCTAAATATATAATGTCCACAGTATTTTGCTGGTCCACTAATTTAGTTACTGGGTTGAAGAATGAAATAATATTGGTTTGGCATGATCTGTTTTTAAAAAACCCATCCTCACTGCTCATTATTACTTTACTTGTTTCTAGATGTTGGCAGATCTGTTTTTTTATTATCTTTTCCAGTATCTTCCCGGGTATTGATGCTAGGCTGATTGGTCTATAGTTTTCTGGGTCTGTTTTTTCCCCTTTTTTAAAGTTTTATTGTTTTTAAGACAAACATAAATAAATGCAACATAAAAACATCAAACCATCTTCCATATATGTGCATACAGTGTGTCGGTTGGTTTACAAATTGTTTTGTGCTTCCACTTCATAGTCTTCAATTACAATTACATTGTATATGTTGTCATATTGTTAATCAAATATTTCTAAATACGTTAATATCATTATTAATCAATCATTTGACTATACTATTATTCATTCATGTTTTACAAGATAATCCATATTTTACTTAATTTGTTTTATGACAGTTCATATTATCTCAAATCTATCCTATAATCATTTTGTAGGTATAATAAAAAAATACATCTTTATATATTCATTATGTTCTAAAAATCTGCATATTTCATTATCATGTTTTATTGTCTAACCATTGATAGAATAGATCCCAAATTTTATAAAATTGTTTATCATCTTGTTCTCTGATTTCAAATGTCAATCTACTCATTTCAACACATTCCAATATTTTCTTAATAGCTTCCTCTTGTGTTGGTATTTTCTCATTTTTCCAGTTTTTAGCGAATACAATCCTAGCCGCTGTTAATACATTTACGATCAAATATTTCAATTTTTTACTATATATTTCAGGTAAAATTCCCAATAAAAATATCTCTGGTTTCAAATCTATATGCTTTTTTGTCATTTTTTGAACCATGTGTGGATTTTAGTCCAATATTTTTTGGCATCTGCACAAGTCCACCACATATGGTAATATGAGCCAGGTACCTGATGACATTTCCAACATTTTCCAGATTTGTTCTTGAACATTCTTGCTATTCTTGTTGGGGGAAATGCCACCTATAAAACATTTTATACAAACTTTCTTTATATGCCATTGACATTGTCATTTCATAATTTTGACACCACAATTTTTGCCATTTCTCTAGATCAATCCCATATCCAAAATTCTTCCCCCAAGCAATCATTGTTTCTTTAACTTGTTCTTCTTCTAGTTTAATTTCTAATAGATATTCATATAATTTTTTAATCAACTTTTCATCAGTATCTGTCAAAATCTTATCTAAATCAGTCAGTTTATCATAGAAATCTTCTGTTTTAGAATTTTTGTCATACCTTGAATGTATTTGTGCATATGAAAACCAATTCATCTTTATACCTTGTTCCTCTAGTTTTTGCATAGATTTAAGTTCACCCTTTTAATTCAATATTTCACTATATCTGTTTGTTCCTTTTTGTATATTATAGGGTAAGAAAATGCTTCAATAGTCGATAGCCAGACTGGAATTTTCAAATAACATTGTCTTTTAGTCTTCTCCCAATTTAACCACAGAGACACCCATATATAATGTCTTCTAAAATACCCCTAAAATACCCCAACAACAGATCATGTCCTTCTAATGTCAACAATCTAGCATTTCTGAATGTTATCCATTCCTTAACCCACATCAAATTTGTAGCTTGGTAGTACAACTCCCAATTAGGCAAACCAAATCCTCCTCTTATTCTAGCATCTTACAAAAGTTTTAATTTTATTCTTGCTTTCTTACCTTGCCATATATATTTCAACACAATTTTATTTAAATCTTCAAAATAATCTTTTCCAAGCCTAATTGGGATTGTTTGGAACAAATATAAAATTCTGGGTAATATGTTCATCTTGATTGTTGATATTCTCCCTATTAATGACAGTTGTAAATTTTTCCATTTCGCCAAATC